CCTTGATGGCCAAAAACAGACGTTCCTTTTTGCTGTCCTAATTACTTTGAGCCATCACTTCAGGTTTCGTCCATTAGCGAACACAAACATGCACATACAAATGCAGAGACAGACACACTCACATGCATCAAAGTTGACATATGACCGTAACTAACCAAATCACTTTATATTTCATCAAAGAGGCAGATGTAAAGTATATATACCACTTTTAGGGATTTGCGGGTGTTTTCTTTACTTGTTAGCTTGGTTATGGTTGTGACGATGATACCTCGCTCTGATGATGTCCGTCATATGCCGGACTAAAGCTCAGCACCTTTTCACCGGAATCGAAGGAGATCACCTCGGAAACAGCGTTAGCATGAATGTTTTAGTAAAGCCAATCGTCAGCTGGTCAAGAGGAATCCGCAGTCGTCTTCTGGTGGAATCGAGCTTCGAATCTCTCCACCCAACATTTTGACTCGAAATGAAAGTAAGCTCAACAATTATGAAACAAGAGATTCCTCGAAACTCAACTTTTCCTCTCAATATTTATTTGACCGACATACTGAACTGAAGGGAAAAATGCAGCTCCAGCTGCTAGCTGGAAGGTATTGTAAAATTGGGCTTTAACTGTAAAGTCTACAATTTTTTATTCTATCATATTTTTTCTTTTTATTATTTGATTATCTGATGCCTGTCCATACAGCTAACGTTTAAACGTCATATTTAGTAAAGCATTATCGTAATTTCCATGTGAGCCCCATTTTTCACTTTTTTGCAGCTGACTAACGATGCAATTATGGCTGCACAGGTAGGCTGGAACGTTGATTCACTGATCGTTGATATGCCAACGATAGGAAAGCGCATCACTTTCCCAATACACACTTGGTTAGCAAAAGATAAACTTGACGGGAAGACAACGCGGCGCTTCCCCGTTCATGAAAACAACGTGATCACCTACAAGCCAAGTAAGTCTTTAAACAAACCAATAAATATTACTATTTAAAACAAATTTCAATAGGATTTTAATTTGATGTATTGGGACAATAACTATACACTCAACTTTACCCTATTTCTACAACTAAGTTGTGCGCATTGGGGACTTGGACGAATTTACCACGAATTTCATCCTTTACCATTTGTATCTTCTGCTTTTTTTTCCTATCGGCAATTTGTTTTCAAAGCGATTCTGTGTATTAGTCCATACTCCCGAGTTAGTGACAAATCTATCTTCATAATGTTCCAGCCAACTCATATTTCACCAGCAAAGATACATTGGCATTGCCGGACTTCGAATGTATGATGATACGTGCAAGCCTAACTGATGAAATTATCATCTCTTCACTGATCCAATCTTGTGAGAACTCATTCCAAAGAAAGAGAAGTATATTTTTCCTGCGCCAAACATCATGAAATTGTATAGA